GCTGGCGCGGGCCGTCGCGACGGCGGCCGTGGCACGCTCCGGGGGCGGAAGATCGCGGCAGGGCGGACACGTCGCGTGGTCGGAGACCGGAGATAGAGGCGGACACGTCGCGTGGTCGGAGATGACCGGAGATAGAGGCGGACACGTCGCGTGGTCGGAGATGACCGGAGATAGAGGCGGACACGTCGCGTGGTCGGAGATGACCGGAGATAGAGGCGGACACGTCGCGTGGTCGGAGATGACCGCAGTTAGAGGCGGACACGTCGCGTGGTCGGAGATGACCGGAGATAGAGGCGGACACGTCGCGTGGTCGGAGATGACCGGAGGTAGAGGCGGACACGTCGCGTGGTCGGAGACCGGAGATAGAGGCGGACACGTCGCGTGGTCGGAGACCGGAGATAGAGGCGGACACGTCGCGTGGTCGGAGATGACCGGAGATAGAGGCGGACACGTCGCGTGGTCGGAGACCGGAGATAGAGGCGGACACGTCGCGTGGTCGGAGATGACCGGAGATAGAGGCGGACACGTCGCGTGGTCGGAGACCGGAGATAGAGGCGACCGGTGCGGCATGCAGCCGCCGTTCGATGTCTGCGCCGATATGCAGCGCAGGGCTCTGGGGCTCTACGGACTACGTGGGTGGGCCTTGTACAACCAGCAGTCTGTGGGTGCTGGTATGCCAAAAGTCGCCTGAATTTCAATTCTGTGATAGGTAAAGCAGTTGGGCTTTATCGGTATTTCGAAGACAGTTCAGCGAGATGAGAAATAAATAGCCGACGCGGCTCATTTGTCAGACCGGCTAGCTATGTATAAATATGCGATCAGCTGGCGGGTTTCGTTTTCAATCTCTGCATGAGCTGCACGTGGCTGAGGAACAGTCTTTTACGGTGTGGGTGGTCTGTGAATGTCTTTGTGATGTTAAAATCTGTGATAAGAAGAACGTTTTCCGAGGTACCTACAAAACAGTACCAGTGTTGCCCATTGGAGCGTCTAAGGAGTTCGTGCCATTACCTTAGAAGACATTACATCTGCCAAACTTTCCCCGACCGCTCTGTCTCAAAAGTTGTTCTGAATGCGTGCAGCGAGCGGAAATGTTTGCGCTGTCTGGCTCTCCCATACCTCGTAGTTCACAGCTCACAGAATTGGTCGTGAATGACCGGTCTCTTGTCTGCATTGTAGGTGGACCTTTTCCAACCGGGTCAACCGGGGCCAATTATTCAGAAAACGCCCGGGCCTTGTCCGTTGTGTGGCGTCCGCGTCACCTTCTGAACAGAAGCCGGCGTCGGCCGGGCGGACTCGATCGCGCGTGACCCCGTGACCTCACCGCCGCCGCGGCCGCCTGGAGGCACAATGCGGGACGCCGTCGCCGGGCGCAGCGCGCGTGGCGAGGCGGGGTCAGACAGACACTCGGCGCGGCCGAGTTGTTTGCATTGTGCCCGGGCCGGCCCCGCCTGACACGGGCCAATTGCCGGTGCGACGCTCTGTTGACTGAGACGCCTCCCGTCAGCGCCCAGGCCCCAGGCCGCCCGTCAAGAGGCGCAGCTCCCAAATCGGCGCCGCCGCGGGACGCTGCTACATAGCTCGACAGCGATGCTGCACGTGCCGAGTCCTCAAGATCGAGAGGACAATTGGCACGTCGCAGTACTTGGGCTGGCGACTGGGGACGTCGGTGTCCTCTTACTGGCGGTGGAATGCGCCGGCCACATGAGTCATGACTATAATAATCCACAGAAAAGATGACGTCGCTTACCACCCTGAGTTTCCAGCATAATATTCGTGACACTTGCTGGCACTGGCGCCGTGCGATAAATAATACACGACACGTCTGTCAGCCCAGATTATATCCTCTCGCCTTCAACTCCATGTCAACGGGTCTCCAACGTGACGCAGCTGCCAGAGCTCTCGCGTTTCATCGTTAAAATGCTCCTGCCCTCTTCCAATGCGGTCCCATGTGGGTGCCTATGGCAGGACGGCAGCAGATGATCAGCGGCGACGTCATCATACCGCAGCATCACCCCCACGCGACCTCTCGGGCGACCGGTGGAAAATGTCTGGACGCGTCCGCGCATTTAAATGCAGCCCATTGCGCTATCACTACCGCTTTGTTCCCCTGCGTTAGATCTTGAGATCACCCCATGCGTGCTGCCTCCATGCGGTTTGCGTCCGAGCCTCGCGCGGCGTGGTCGGGTCAGGCCGCGCTCCCGGCGTACCGCCGCTCTTTCCGCGGGACCTAACGAGACCCGCAGCAGTTCACCCGCCTCCCACAGCGCACCTGCCTCCCGTTTGAATACAGGCTTGAAGTACCTTGCACGATCGGGGCTGCTGCCCCGTGCCCAACCACAGTTCGTTGATATGAGAGAGGCCTCCCGGTGATGGGTCAGGTGACCCGTCGAACTGACGTGTCATCAGCTGACCCGCGCCCGAGCCCGCCGAGACGGCCTTAATCTAGGGGCCCGCGCGTGCGCGCCGCTGTTGTGTCTTAATAGACGAGCCGAGCCGAGATCCGGTTGGTGAGAATGGAACACTTGTGTCGCCTCGTCCGGCGGTAGCTGTGAGACGGCTCGAGCCGCCGCTGGATCGCCGGCCGGACCACCGTGACGGCTGCCAGCCTGGAGTTCGGACCGCCTCGAGCTCGGCGGCATCATCAGTTGGCCTGATTTGCCCCCGGCGCCGGTGCGATGAGAGGGGCCATAAATTTCCCGACACGACGCGTCGGCGGCGCCCGACTAAACGGCGGCTGACCGCGCGGATATTGACTGGCGCTGGATTGCACGAGTCTTGTAGGAGAAGCCAGAGAGACGGGGATGTGAGGAGAGGAGAGGGGGTGTGGGGCGAGGAGAGGAGAGGAGAGGAGATGTGATGTGAGGAGATGAGAGGAGAGGAGAGGAGAGGAGAGGAGAGGAGAGGAGAGGAGAGGAGAGGAGAGGAGAGGAGAGGAGAGGAGAGGGAGGAGAGGAGAGGAGAGGAGAGGAGATGGCTGATGACGGCTGTTGTCGCTCACAAAGACACGCTGCAGACGTTCGTGGCAGCATCGGAATTCCCAGTCAGTCTTTTCCCTGCGGCAGTTGGGAAGCATTGTTCAGCCGCCGAAGATACACACTGGCGTGTTTTGATATCGTGCAGACCTGGACCGACCATGTGAGTCAATATTTTTACAGCTGAAGGGTCTCCTTCGTGGGCCCACTGGCTCCCATTGATAAGCCCCATCCTCCCCGATGTCGCGCTCCTCTCCGGGTAGGAATACTTTCAGGATAACTGTCGCGGCTTGTTCGCTTAGTGGCAAGTTATCGGAACGTCAAAGCTTCTGCATATATCCCTAGGGCACACGGGAAGCTCCTTTTAGAAGCTAATCTATTCCAGCCAGGCTGGCCTCGGAACCCATCGCCGTGCTGCAGGCCTGCAATAAAGGACAACTCGCTCAGTAGGATCGGCGAGTAAGCCGTAATCACGTTTGCACGCGAAATGGAACGGCAAATTGCTTCATGGACGGCACATTTAAAGTGGCTCTGATGCCGCATTAAGACAAATTATGCCACGTTATATATGTAGCAGTGCTCTTAACGTGGCCGTCACAAAATGGCAAGATATTGTTTCACCCTTGTCTCAACTTAAGCCAAGTGTGGTGATATGTTTTTGCCCATAGAGACTGTTGCAGTATTGCATACCGTCGATCGATTTCTTTCGTCCTCGTGGTCCAGCTGTTGAGAACGTTCCAGCTGGGCCGTCCCGCGTCCCGTCAGTCCTCTCGTCCTCCAGGGCCGTCCCGCTGCCTGCCGGTCCTGTCGTCCTCCTAGGTCATCCCACTGCCTGTCGGTCCTCTCATCCTCCTAGCTTGTCCCACTTCCTGTTTGTCCTCTCGTCCCCCGTGGCCGTCCACTTCCTGTCGGTCCTCTCTTCCTGCAGGGCCGTCCCGCTGCCTGCCGGTCCTCTGGTCCTCCTGGCGGGCGGCGGCCGGATGGACCCGGCGTCGGTGGGCAGGTCGCGATCCGTCTTCCGGTCAGCTGAGTCAGTTTTTAGCGAGAGCCGCTGCAACGGGGCGGTGACGGATTGCCGCTGGTGCCGCCCGGTGTCGCTCGGCGGTGGCGCGCGCTCCCGTCCGATCCCCACCTCCCGAACAGTGCCACCTAGCGATTTCCGACTTCCGAAAGCGCTTGCGTAACGGTCCTGCCTGCTGTTGATATGGATGGGGACGTCTTCAAAGGCACATGGGGAGGTAATCATGCCTGGATAAATGCAGATATGACGGCACGCGCTGTCAACTGGAAAGTGCGTGTTGAAGATTGCACTTGCAAAGCAAATAGCACCAAATACCACTAATTGACCTTGGCACGATAAATTGCCACTAATCAAGTGGCTGCTGGCAGCTTATAACTATGTAACTTAACGTTAGCATTTCCGAATTAAGTAAAGAAGCTTAAGAACAGCTGCATCGCCGCTGCATTCTCCGCAGATTATCCAGTCGCACTGTCCGCGATGTTTAAGGAGGATTACACGCCAGATGAGTACATCCGGCTTCAAACCGAAAGCTGGGCGTCGACCGGCAGCTGCAGCGTTCGATTTGTGAATTCCTCGGATTACTGGAAAGGAACACAGGCCGCGCAATCAGCGCACGAAAACAAACGCCGGGCGATGCAAAAACATCGCGAATTTTTTAGCAACGGTGAGGGCTGACTCCATTGATGAAATGACATTTTGGTCCTGGACTGTGACGGTGTACTTTCAGCGAACTGTGTCGTATAACCGCTTGCTTCTTAATCATAATCGTACGAATCCCGGACGAATAGAATGAAGATCCATAACAAAGAGACTAGATGAGCAATATTTCCGGCTTTTACGTCTAAGCGGGTGGAATAGAAAAGACGTACCTTATTTGCACTGATCGCATGACGTCACTTGTGTGTGGTGCTTTCTTGGGCCCACTGTAACGCCGTACACGCCCGTGGGCCCTGTGCGGCCCGACATCAACAGTGACCCGACTGACCCGGTGCCGTGCGCCGTTTCAGACCCGGAGACGATTGTGGCGCGCACCGGAAGCCGCCTGGCACTCAGCTGTCCGGGCCGCTCGGCCGTCGGCGATCCGCTGCTGGTGCGGTGGCTGTGCAGGGACTGCGGCCGTGGCGCCGGGCTGGTGCCCGTGGCCGAGTACAGCCAGGACGGCACCGTCTCGCTGCTGGTCGACCCGGACCGGCTGCAGCTGGCCCGCCGCACCTTCCAGCTGGTGATGGACCCGGCCCTCACCAGCGACTCCGGCACCTACGTCTGCATGATCAACAACAGCCCCAGTCCGGAGTACATTCGCGTCGTCGTTCAAGGTACGTGGGTTCAGCGCTGAGCGTTGAGTTTGGCGGCCTCGGCGCTTTGCTGTATTGAAGAATTAGATTTCCACGAAGCATTCATATTTGAAAATGTCTAGGTCGTCAGTGCCTCGCTGTTCGGCAGTGTCGCCGCATTGGGGCAGTAACGTTGGAAAGGGCGTTCATGCAACACGTTTTCTGTCCGGAAAGATCCGGGCACAGTTCTGTTATACATTTCTTCGTTTCATCTCCAGCAGCACAATTTGCCGTGACGTGCTAAAACCCTTCCCTGGTCATTGTCTGCCTCACAATGGGACGGCGACAGTGACAGGGACGCTAATTCTTCCATTCGTTCTTTCCGCCCGCTTGCTGCATTTTGCGGTGGCTTGTCTCTTCCGGTAAGCATGCTGCCATCTCCCCTGTTTTCCCTGCCGTTGCGCGTACTTCTGGCCGGAACTTATGCGTGCCGCTCCCACGCCCGCTGAAAGAGGCGGAACCGGCCGCGCTCATCGCGTCACGTGACCATGCCCGGGGGCGGGCGGCCCTCCACGCCGGCCTCACGAGCGCATTCCGACGCGGCAATGCGGCGTCCGCTGGCGGGTCCCGTGAGACAGCGCGGTGCAACGACACAGCCGCCGCCCGCGGCCGTGCCGACGGAAAACGCCGGCGGCCGCTGCGCGAGCCGGCGGGCCAAGCTCGGCGGCGAGGCGGTCCGAACCCCGCTCGGGCGCGGAGCGGGCCGGGCGGAAACGGCGGGCGCGCGGGGCGCCGTCGGCTGCCAGCTCAGGGATGGCGGTGGGCAGGGGTGAGTCTGTTGCGGCTCTGTAGCGGACGGGGGTCGCTCATGGTCTGCTGGTGGTGCAATGGAGCCGAGGGCAGCCCGCTCGAGTGAGAGTCTCGCTGGCTGGGTGAGATCGAGAGAAGCCGAGCGTCGTAGCCACGGAAGTGGCCGGCTGTCCGGTGGATCCCCGACCAGCGCGGCTGTTCTGCTACGCTGGGGTTGGAGGCGCAATTGCCGGGAGTGGATGACGAAATTGCTGTGCTTTACGACCTGACCCCATCCAAGTTCGGTCGGTGACGAGGTGCGCTGCGAGCCACCGTCTCCGCACCGTCGGTATTGGCCCCGCGTCCGCGCAGCTGTGGTGAAGCCCCGCGGCCACCACGGCGCCTCGCAAAGCGGCAGCCGCGCCCGGCGGACTTCGGCGTTCGTTCGGACACCCTCCGCGGACGTCCCGCGGGTCACAGGTCACCTCGCCGGGTGCAGTGGTCGAGCGCGCGCCGAGCCCCGGGCGCTGCGGCTTTTTATCTGCGGGCGGCGCGCTGGAAACAAAGGTGCACCGGGCGGGGTCATGACCCCTGTATCTGCTGACCAGGGCCCGCCGCCGCGAGATATAACCTCGCCTCGCCGGCACGCCCCGGCCCGTGCTGAAGAGTGAGGAGGTGGGGGGGGGGGGGGGGGGGGGGGACGGTTCGCGGACGGAGCGCAGAGTCGCGGAGAATTACGGCCATTCCAGCACCGACATGCTTCACCCGAGGTGGCAGTCCAAAGTGGGCCGAGTTTCTCCGCCAGCGCCGACGTTCCGTAATTGCGGCCAGGTACGCGGGACAAGTTTTCTGCGAAGGTCGTAGTTCATCAAAGTTCACCATTGACTGGACTTCAGCACGTTCATTTCACGGAGGAGAAAAGGCAGCCTTGGTCGACGTGGTGTTTTGCTAAGTTAAGGCGGCAGCTACCCGTCTTCCCGATCTTCAGGACGCTGTAAACTTCACGCAGATAAAGGCGCCGTCTCTCTTGCCGCCCAGAGTTGCCCAATGGAATTGAATACATTTCACTGTGCATTACCATAATTACGAAAACAGATGACCCCTGAAATTTCTTCTGGAAAATGCTTCGCTCATGTTTGGCTCCTCGAAAGCGATGCCAGACTTCAGAAGACGTTATTGATGAGGCGGGTTGCGAAAATCTTCAGAAGCTCCCGACATCATTTTGCCGCGCCTCATCCCCGGCTATGAACTCGCTGTCGTCGGCCGGGAAACAATCTCGCTCTCGGTGGTTTTGAAACGCTGTACGCCTCCGCGGAAAGACAAGCGTCGACCCTCTTCGACACGCGTCCGGACGTGGCCCGCCCGCGGCCTGCTGTCCCATTAACGGTGACGGATGTGTGACCTGACCCGGGGTCACAGGCGCGGCGGTCCGTCGTGTGTCGCCTGACAGGGGATTACGCGCTTCAGCACGTGCCAGTATGTGGTACCTGCCGACGCGAGACTGGGGAAAGGTGAGCAGCGGCGGCACACCGAACCGACTGGCGCACCAAGCACGGGAGCCGCGGTGTGAAGTACGAACATGGGAGGACGGAGGGCGGCAGCGGGAACATGTGCTGACCACGAGCGCCGACAGAGCACGTCAGCGAAAGAACAAATGGCCAGGGAGCACCGCTGGCACCATCCGGCCGGCGCCGTTGATGGCGAAGCGTGGCCAGCCATATTTCCCGCCGCTATGAGCCCGTTCATTTGGCGTCGCCTGATGGTGGCGTGCATAAGAAGCGTCGATCTCTGGGGTGTGGGCGCGGCCCAGCTGCCGGGCTAATTCCGTCTGACGACCCCAGCAGCCGGTGCTGGCGGGGTATCATGGCCTGGCGGCGTGGCGGCGCGGCGGCAGTTGGTCGGCCGCTGTCCGCGCGGCCCTCTCATCAACGGCGCTCACGAAACAAGGCGTTGAACAAGAGTGAATGGGAGTTGAAGAGCGAGAGTGAACCGGAGAGAAGGGAGAAGGGAGATGGGTGGTGAGTGATGCGCGGCCGACAGGCGGAGTGGCACACCGAAGTGAAGAAGGGGAAAGTTAGAAAGTAGCGTGGAGGGAGATGGAAATGAGGGGAATGAGGTAAAACGCGCATTTGCTGCTGACTTAGCGCTGTCTTTACGTCAGGGTTTATTGCAAAATGTGCGTACAACTCGCTCTCCGTATATTTTACATTTCAGACAGCGCTGCGATAGTTGGCTTATCCCAGCGACATGGCCGTAATTCGATGACCCGTTTGCGGCTTTTATGCGGACATAAAATAGCATAGCGAATGCCGTTTACGTTGTTTCGAGGTCTCCTCTTCCAAAAGCCTCGGTCTGACGTTTTTCTTCGGGGCATACCTCTTTCGTTTAGCTGTCACCATAACTTAGCTCTTCTTGGAAAACAAAAACATTCAAGGAAAATGGGGTTCGTGGGAGATAGAGTCTACAGTGGCGTGTCTTATACATAGGATAACGTGTAAGCGTTGTGAGCATATCCACCTCAGATATAAGATTTTTCCGACATGTCCACCAGGAGAACTCAAAAGATTACTGATGGGCGTAGAAACGAGGCAAATGATTTCATTGCGAGCCACACCAGGGTGCGATTGTTCGGTTGCGGGAATTCAACGCCGCATACAACGCAGTCATGCGCGACGCAACCCGTCATGAGAGCCGGCATGGTCCGTCAGTAACCGACTGCCGGAGCTGAAATGACTTCGCGGCCGCGGCCGGAATGGTCCCAGCAGTCAACGCTCCTCCGCGCTCCCCTGGATCATCCACGGGCGTCGCAGACACCCGTTCAGCGGAGCGTGTCCGCCGGCGGCGTCAGACGCTCGGCGATCAGCTGGCGGTGCGGTGTCGTCCGCGCGGAGCGCTCAAAGGGTCGAGAGCGCCGGCGGCGGTCGGCGCGGCGCGTGAGGTCCAGCCGAACCCCGATCCGCGATAATGAAGCCTTTGAAGCGGACATTAATCAGGCGCTGGGCAGGCGGGCCGGACCGAGTCCCTGGCCGGCCGCGCGCCGGGGGGCCGGGCGGCGTGGTCCTGTCGACAGGCCGGCCATTGTGGCGGGCCGCGGGCCGGCGACGGCGGCGGCGCCCGCGGCGCCCGCGGCCAGGTGACGGCCGGGCCGGCCGTCTGGCTCGGCTGGCTCGCAGTGTCCCCGCTCCGCCGGGCCGCCGACACACAGGCTGATTTTTACCCTTGGCTGGCCGTATTGAGATGTCACCTGGGGCCGACACAATGGCGGCCATAATTTGGGGTGAGCAGTGGGGGTGAGCGGGCTACCCTTCCGCTTAATTTATTCTGGAGAACCCGCGTGGCTGGCCGCTTCGCTCTGTGGCCACCCAGGAGCGAGGGGTGGTCATGCACGGGCTGTAGGGTGGCGTCGGCTGCCCTCCAGCTCGGCCGCGCGCGGTAGGACGCAGCAACAGACGTCAGGCGACGCGGCGTTGTCACTGTTTTTGTAGCATGTTTGGACGCAGCGGCTGTGGCTGGCGGCATGACCATGTTCGGGACGAGGCGTGAAGCGGGATGCAGCTGATAAGGTGTTGTTTTGCAGATGTGCCTGACGCTCCCGGGCGACCGCTGGTCACCAGCTTCGCGTCCACGTGGGCTAACATCTCCTGGGCGCCCAGTGTCAAAGGCAGAAACACGCCCGTCCACCACTACTTGGTTCAAGTCCGGTAAGTTCGGCTGCCGGTGTACACAACTTCCCCACATGGAGTGATTCATGGACCCGCAGTGATAGAAGGGTGCAAACAGCTGAGTGTTATTGACTTGTGCTGTTTTAGATCGCATCGGGTGACTATAGGTATTGCAAAATACCGAGTTTCCGAGCATGAGCCCGATAGCCTAGGCCTTGGTAGCGCTCGGAATAGGTAAATTGTTCTGTACTAAATATGCATTGGGAGTTCAGAAGATGACGGAAATGAGCTGGCTCAGACAATTAATTTATGGGCTTTTTACAAGCCATTTTGTGCTATGAACCGACAGATAACCATTTACAGAACAGCATGCGAGTTAAGAAAGCGATAGAAATGAAATCCCGTAAACACCGCAGCAGGTGTTTGGTACACATCACATAACAAATCGCCTCCTGGTTCTGGCTGTGTGAGTTTGTGAGACGTCACACGTTTCATTTCCGAATGAGAACAATCCCACACGCCCATAACAAACAACACAGGCGGCGGGAGCTGTCGGTGGAGCGCCGCAGGCGGCCGGACCAAATCAGTCGGGATCTCCCGAGGCGGAAGACCCCGCGGCGCGGCCGGCGGCTGGCGGCGGCGGGGCCCGATTTACTGCGGCCGGCGCGGACTCGGCCGGCCGCCGTAAATCTCCGCTCGGAATGCTGCTAGCGGCGCGACGCGATCGGCCCTAGCGGGTCCTCGAAGGCATTAGTGGCCTGTACAGGCAGCGGCCGTTCGGGGAGCGAGCAGGCGCGGGGTCCGGGCCGGTCAGGACCCGTCCGTGGACAATGTCTCCAACAGTCGCCTGGCGTGGTGAACAGGCGGCCGGTCTGTCCGGCAGCTATACATCCCGAACATGCTCAAATGAGGCGTGTAGCTGACCGTTTGCTTTTCATGGTGTGCGTCGCTACAAGTTACGGGTTCATGGGACGAAGCTCACTCGGGTCTACCTGTTTCATGCACGAGCCCACATTGATGATAGGCAAAGCAAGAGCGGCTATTGTTGCTTTTCAAATATCAGAAACCTGCGTTCATGAAAACGAGGTGATGATGTCTCACTAGTCTCAAGCGAGATCTATAACAGTATGTTCAAGTTTCACAAGAATCGAGCGCTAACTAAAAAACATTGAAAATGAACATGACCGGAAGCATATTTTCAGCGTTACCCTGAATAACGACCCCTAGACACGCACAAGTAAGATCATGCATTCAGTTCCATGCGGGCGCTGCTTTGACGTACCACATTGTATAGCCCCTCACCGGGCTCTTACATGATGCAAAACCTTCTGGGAAGGAGCTGGCCTGGCCAAGCGAAATATTATGTTGATAATTAGGTAGAGGTGGATTAGTCGGTATACACGAGAGCGGCCTGCACAAATCTGGCTTCTATCGATTAAGTGAGAAGCGCCTGCCAGGCTGAAGTAGCAGGGGCGAGGCCAGAATTTGGGACAGGGAAGGGGCTACCATGATCTGCGACGGGGGTCCATGTGTTACGAACCAGTCCCAGTCCCATTGTGAGTACGTACACACTGCGCACGGTCCAACAGACCCCGCAAACGCTAAAAGATACGTGGTCTGGCGCATTGATGAGCTACCGACGTTGGTATGCCCTGATGCCTTAAAAAATTGTTTCAGCTGCGTACCGTACATGATCACTCGGCAATCCGCTAGTCTTGTGAATAAACGGCTGTTGACTCTACATGCCGCTGCCCATGATAGTGACTACGATATTTAAAATCAAAATGTTGCCCCTACTCGTCCTCGATGCCGGAATGTTATTCAGTAGTGTTGTGGTGAAAAAACTGCGCCCAAACCTGAGCAGGAGAGGAGGTCACTTTTGACCCAACGAAAGAAATAAGTAACGGTCCAAAGTAAATATGTCTCTGCCTATTGCACTGTCTGACAAGACGTTAAGATACGTAATTTGCCCCGTTCTAAAGAAATCGGTTTCTTTCTTGAGATTTCTGGATATATTTTTTTAATTGCAGCTGAAACAGAGTAGGATACATGTTCCACCTCACACACAAACTTATTTACCGGATCCAGCATCCTGGTCTCATATAACGAAAGTACGAACCCGCTCACTTTTTGAATCACGTCAGAACTTGTTTACTATTATGTAAGCAAGTTCTGACCTGTTTACATAATAGTCATCAATTTATTGATGCCAGGCCTTGAAGCGCCAAGCTAGTTGGTAACACTACAGCCGATCAGCACGACATGAGGCCTCCCTGACTTCTGCCGCACACGGACCTCCACCGATCCCTGACATCCGCTGTACGCGGGCCTCCACGGGTCCCTGACATCTGCTGCACGCGGACCTCCACCGATCCCTGACTGCGCACACTGCGTATTCTGGCCCCGTTCTCCCCGTGGACGGCCGGCGGCCGGCGGCGTCTGCCGTACGCGGATGAGGAGCGGTGGAGCCCGATCTCGTGGCCGTTGAAGGCCCGAGCTGCCGCTCGCCTTCCCACGGTCGGAACAGGTGAAGCGGCGTCCGGAGCTGGCCCGCGGCGGTAGACGCCTGCCGCGTCCGGCCTGAAAAAGGCCGCCCGATTATTCATAGCGCGCGGCGCGGGGTTGTGCAACCCCGCTCGAGGCGAATAGGCGGGATTGTTTCTGGAGGAGGTGGGGCGGTGCGCGTCTCATCAATAATCGGAGGATGGCCGGCACCCGCGGCGGCAGCTCGCTTCGGTCCAGGAATGCCGAACTGGTCCCCAGCGAGAGCAGATGGGACGTCCTGAGGAGCGTATGGTCCGTCTCGCTTTCTAAACGACGTTTGGTAATCAACGCTTGGCTGCCGTGCGAAGTGGCCTACAGGATAGCAAGACAGCGTGTTTGTAGGACGCTTTACTTCCGTTAATTACTTCACCCACTTCGAGCAGAAGACGATCGTGGGTGATAAACACTCCCAACAATGTGTCGGAAAAGGCCTCTTGACTCGCGGATACGATCACAAAAGCTCTCAGGTTCATGGGACGGAATATAAAGCGACTTTAAAATGGACTGCAAGCAGTTCACACACGGATTTAATGATAGTTCCCAGGCACACATATTGATCTGCAGAGCGGACGAATTAAAATGGCTGTGAATCTTGACGATATTGCTGCCGATGTTTGTTGATCATTAGGCTGGCTGCCTTTGAACTGGAGCAGTTGCAGGAAATGGGACCAGAATGATCTGCAACGAAAACCACAATTCTGTCTATCTAACCGTTTGGTACGATTTCCATTTCATCTTCATGTCTTGTGATACTGAGACGTAACGCATGTTCGTAACGTTCATAATCATTTGTCGAACGATGAACATTTCCATGAGTGCCTGTGAGAAGTATGCATTACAATCATTGTGCTCAAACCGCAGACACGTCCGGAGAAAGACGCAGTAACGCTTGGGTTCATTCAGATGCATAGCTTTGCTTTGTCATGATGCATGAATGCATGCATTATGCAGGACACGTCACGAGGGCTTAAAGAACTCCTTTGAATGCATCAGCCCCATGGCGGTTAACACGCGTTGGTCTTGGACGTTTCCTTCGCCATAGCACTGAAATAAAGCTGTAAACCAGCAATCATAACGGTACCCACAACTGTCCATCCCGTTCAAACAATAAGCCATCCACAGGTGCCTTCACAGACCTTTCAATCGCCGGGGCGGACTCGTGGCTCCGAGCGCCCCAGCTTTATGGCGACTTCAGTCACACACGTGTCCAGCGGACGAGACTCGCGAAGGTCAGAGGGCAACGGCGGTAACGGACCGGGGTTCCAGGAGAAGAATACGGCGCCGGCTTTGGGTCACCACCAACAACCGGTGTCTCTCTCCTCTCCACAGAGAGGGCGAGGCGGGCACCTGGTCGCTGTTGGGCGCCACAGTCACCCCCGACAACAGAACGGCCTTCACCGTGCACGAGCTGAGGCCCTACACCGCCTACAGCTTCAGGGTGCTCGGGGTCAACGATCTGGGCCAGGGCACCCCCAGCGAGCCCTCCTACTTCATGGTGACACTCCGGCAATGTGAGCAGCGTGCCAGTTACTCGTTTTGGATGGCGCTGCTCGGCTTTTTGGTCACGTCTGTTGCAAACTGGGAGCCGTTGAAATGTTCTGATTGTGCTGGCAGCGGTTGTCTGTGTTTCAGCCTCACTGGCGTTTTGATTACATTGGTATTCTGCTCCCCCAGCATTCATATAACTGGAAGCAACTTTATGCAGCAAACAGTTCGGATGTTTGTGGGGTGCGATGAAAATTTTCGTGTCACGTTCGCTTTTCCCCCGTTACTGAATTCGCCGAGCGGCAAAAGCCACCACATTTCGCGTCTCTTGTTCATCGTACATCTCGAAACAAGGCATTCTTGCATCTGGTTCCGCCGTCGCGACGTTTGATGTCCACGCCTGTCTGCTGACCGTCATGTGACACTTCACCCATGATCCTGCTGACCGTCATGTGACGCTTCACTCATGGTCCTGCTGTCCGTCATGTGACGCTTCACTCATGGTCCTGCTGACCGTCATGTGACGCTTCACCCGTGGTCCTGCTCACCGTCATGTGACATGTCACTCATGGTCCTGCTGACCTTCATGTGACACGTCACCCATGGTCCTGCTGACCGTCATGTGACACGTCACCCATGATCCTGCTGACCGTCATGTGACGCTTCACTCATGGTCCTGCTGACCGTCATGTGACGCTCACTCATGGTCCTGCTGACCGTCATGTGACGCTTCACCCGTGGTCCTGCTGACCGTCATGTGACACGTCACTCATGGTCCTGCTGACCTTCATGTGACACGTCACCCATGATCCTGCTGACCGTCATGTGACACGTCACCCATGATCCTGCTGACCGTCATATGACACTTCACCCGTGGTCCTGCTGACCGTCATGTGACACTTCACCCGTGGTCCTGCTGACCGTCATGTGACGCTTCACCCATGGTCCTGCAGTGCCGAGCACCAGACCGGTGCTAGTCTCGGCCCACAACGCCAGCGCCAACAGCATTGAGCTGGTATGGCGACCGCCCGCCTCTCTGAAGACGATGAACGGAGAGTTTCTGGGCTACCAGCTGACCTACCGACCAGTGGCCTCCGACCCGGAGGCGTGGTCGGAGGCTGACCTCCACGGCACAGACGTCACGGTCAGTGACCTCTGCCGACCTGCGATCCCTCAACCGCACGGAGAGGATGGGGCGGGTAGCGCCGAGGCGCTTCGTGAGAGCGCTCGGCCGTCGAAATCAGTTACTAACTCGCACCTAGCAGACGCGCGGAGTGATGGGGACGCTCAGCCACGAGCATTGAAAATCCTACGCCAGTTTCTCACACTGCCTTTTATCCGCGTTACCGTTAAAACTGAGCCGGCTTTGTTGATGGTCTGAGCTCACAAAGGCTTGAAGCAGACGGCGGGCTCGGCTCGAAACATCCGCGTTTTTCGGAATCCTGAAGCTCAGCCCTGCGCGTCGATTTCACTGTGCCGTTTCCCGTTCCCCGGCCCTGAGCCGTAGCGTGATGTGCTGGATGGAAACGACGCACGCGAGCCCTGCTACCCGTTCATTTATTCCGCCGGCCTGACTTGGCCCTGTCTTTTCTGATGGAAAACTAACTGTGTTTAAGTGGTTCTGGCTGGGCCGCGAACACCTGATGTTTGGAATGGTGCATTGTGATATTTTCCTTTGCGATATGAATGAGTTTCTGTCGGCGTTTGAAGTGATATCGTTACATAAACATCAGGGAGCCATATGCTTGAATATAAACGCAACGCGTGCTCTTTGTTCAGGTTGTTTTTTCTGCCGCATTATACGCGTTGCTTTCGGCACTTCAGCTCGCTTTCAAACGCGCATCGTTTCTCGCGGCGTCTGGCGCATTTCCGAATGTGCGTCTCTCCACCTCCCTCTCTCCATCACGCTCCACGTGCGTTTGCAGAGCTTCACCATCACGGGGCTGGAGCCGTATACGGAGTACGAGATCCGCCTACAGTACCACAACATGCTCGGCCTCGGCCAGCCGACCGTGGTCTCGGTGTGGACCGACGAGGGAGGTGGGTCTTCGGCAGGCATCCGGCGGGCGGGCCGCTGCGGCGTCGGCCGACGGGCCGCTAGCGGCAGCCGTCACGTGTCTCCGCTCTGGCACCTGCTGGCGTGGGATCGCGTACAAGAACAGCGTTGCGAGCCGACGCGTTTTTGCTTTGATGGGCGCGGAAGCAATAGTTGATAAGTCACGTGACGTTGACGTGTCACTGTCCTGTCACTTCAGAACCCGGAAGTCCAGAGGGGTTGAAAGAGGAGGAGATTGGCGACACCTGGGTCCGCCTCACCTGGTCCGAACCGTCCAAGCCAGCCGCGCTCATCGTTGGCTACCACGTGTACGTGGAGTCGGAAGAGGATGGCAAGAGACAGATGGATGGGCATGACGTGAAGCTGACAGGAGATCACATCTCTTTCAATCTCACCGGACTAGGTATGGCAATGAAGCGACATGTACACCACACACACACACACGACGTTGTCGAAAGCGCACCGTGGAATATAATGCAGTCAGACCTCCATCCCGCTCCGAAAACTAAACCAACTAAGATTAATGTTTAATTAAGTAGGCACGCCAAAGGCTTCTCCGACCGGGCATGATAAATAGCCTAATTCACTGATCCACTAATGGGCGACACTCACATTCAAACGACGCCCTTTATATCCAGCACTGAGTCAAAGCGTCTCCCGCGCGCCGCCGCGTGGTTCCGTTGCCGGGTCCGTTCTCAGATTCCTGGACGCCGTCCCCGTAACATGATCTGGAGGGGAGCCGCGCATTTATCTGCGCTGTGGAAGACACGTGGACGTATAGGGCCAAAACCGCGCTGGTGGGACTGATTTCTGACGGTCAGTCGGCGACTGGCCAACGGGCTTGCAAGGGACGCCAGTCTCATGGGTTTAAGTGACACGCTAAAAATCGCCGGCAAAATGTGTGCGATGAGCTGACGTTGCTCCGCAGTTGTGGCAGTGTCAGAGTTTCAGCAACAAACTATCAGTAGCCGGAACTCGGATTCCAAAACGATCTCCGTCAAACATTCAATCACATTTCGAGAACTGGACATGCGTCTTGACGCATGGTCCCTTCGGCAGCGCCCTACACCGAGTACCGCGTGTGGACGTGCGCCAAGTCGCGGCGCACCGAGGGGCGCCGCTCGACGGCCGTGGACGTGCGCACGGACGTGTCAGGACCGGGCGCGCCTCTGCTGGGCAACATCACATGTCGCGGCGGCAGTTCGGTGTACGTGCACTGGCGGCGGCCTCTGCAGCTGCATGGCACTGTGGACTTCTACCTGGTGCAGTACCGTAGCGAGGAGCAGCACGAGTTCGAGGAGCTGGTCATCCCGACCACGGCCAGCCGACAGGAGGAGACGGTGAGTGGGCAGCGGTGGCGGGGAGGCTTCGCCGGGAGCGACAGTGGTGGCGAGGAGGTGGGAGGTTTCCACCAGACGTTTGTGAGACAAACGACAAACGACAAACGAGGCTGGGACGACGAGGTTTCGAATGGTGGATTATTGGCTGGAGAAGACGCGAGGGACGATAGCTTTTTAACTCGCCGGAGGCTGTCAGACTAGTGGCGGCTACAGTCGGACGCAGTCCGATGGACTCGTCGGCCGAGTCGGCCCATCGGATCAGACACAGTCCAATGGACTCGTCGGCCGGGTCGGCCCATCGGATCAGACGCAGTTCGATAGACTCGTCTGCCGGGTCGGCCCATCGGATCAGACGCAGTCCAATGGACTCGTCGGCCGGGTCGGCCCATCGGATCAGACGCAGTTCGATAGACTCGTCTGCCGGGTCGGCCCATCGGATCAGACGCAGTCCGATGGACTCGTCGGCCGGGTTGGCCCATCGGATCAGACGCAGTCCGATGGACTCGTCGGCCGGGTCGGCCCATCGGATCAGACGCAGTCCGATGGACTCATCTACCGGGTCGGCCCATCGGATCAACTGAAATCATCGACGTCGTCTCCGCTCTAGAGCTGTCGCCTGTGCCTCTGCAGATGTTCCTGCCAAACCTGACTATGGACACGATGTACGAGGTCCGCGTGGTGGCCGGCACCAACTCGCTCTACCAGCCGCGCCTCACCTACCGCGGCCGGCCGTCGGACTCGCGCAAGGTTTACGTCCAGGAGAACTGCGAGTCGTTGCAGCAGCAGCGGCTGTTCGGCTCTCTGTGGAGCCTAAGTCCTGGCGTGGTTGCCGGCATAGCCTGCGGCGCCGGCGCCCTCCTGCTGGCCGCGCTCGCTCTCGTCATGTGGAAGTGAGTGGTCTGGGACGGCGACCTTCTTGAATTGAGTGTGGGGTTATCTATGATGAGGGACTGCAGTTTTGGCTCCACTTTCATGTTATATTAATGGGTTCAAAATGTCCTGAAGCTCTGTGACTGCTGCTCGGAGAATGCCCCGAAATGTATTGGTTTTGCCCGGCAATGGTATAGAAATGTTTGAATAGGTGGATGCGCGGTAACCATACAGCCTGTAGCGATTGGATAATTCATGAGACCCATATTTTAAGAACGCGCTGCCGTTCGCAGGAAGTACTTCCAGGCAGCGTACAATCACCTCGACGAGCAGAACAAGACGCCGTCGGTGATCTCCACCGACTGGGAGAACGACTCTCCGGACGGCAGCACAGCCGGCCCCATCCCCGTCCACCTGTTCCCCAAACACGTCAGCAGACTGCACGCCGACGGCGACATCGGCTTCAGCAAGGAGTACGAGGCGATCCAGACGCAGACGCTGCTGGACGGCTATACGTCAGAATATAGTCAGCATACCGAGAACAAGGACAAGAACAGATACCTCAACATCGTGGCCTGTGAGTAGTTGGCTCGGACAACTGCGGGATGGATGTTCGCTGAGGTCCATCATGCGAGCTAGCGGCCGTACCGGAAGTTGATATAATTTGATCCACTAAGTGAGTGTGCCTCGAAGGTACTTGGACGCATATAACGTGACATTGCTTATGTCTCCGCTGTTTCTAGCTGCAGTCAATTTAATCGACACCGAAATGTCACAACACTTCCGCGACTCACTTGTCGAACCTTGACGTCGTCTGACGCGGCCGCTCGCGTCTTCAGACGACCACAGTCGCGTGCCGCTCAGCCCGCTTCCCGGCCAGCACCGCTGCGACTACGTGAACGCCAACTTCATCGACGGCTACGAGCGCCCGCGGGCCTACATCGGCACGCAGGGTCCGCTGCCGGACACGTACGCCGCCTTCTGGCGCATGGTCTGGGAGCAGGACGTCCACATCGTCGTCATGATCACCAACCTCATGGAGAGGGGACGGGTAAGCAGGCCGTGAGCCATCACCATAGGTGCGTGGTCCGTTTGTTTTTTGTCTGTGTTTTTTTTATAGTTTTGTGAAGGCCTTGCCTTCGTGAAATTTGTGCATTTATGTATTTCCCACAAATCATGTATTCTTGTATGTCATTGATGCAACTCGTTGATACAAACTTTTCATACAATTCGTTGGTGCGAGTGATTTGTATAATTTGTGAGCCCATTTAATTCATATTTTGCATGCATATCTACGACGTGTTAAGCCACAAGATTCGCGTAGTTCTTTGATTATAATTTACTTAATAATTAATTCTTGTTACTCATTCACGCAATTAATTACATCAACAGTGGCTGGAGAGACAGGTAATTATGTGATGCTCTGTTCCACAGAAAAAGTGCGACATGTACTGGCCTCAGGAGGGTTCTGAGACTTACGGTGTCATCAAGGTGACGGCCTCTGGGGAGGACGTCATGGCCACGTACACCATACGCAAGTTCAAGCTGCAGCATCTCAAGGTAACCGACTTCAATCGTCGGTGTTTCAAACGCCGACGTTTAGAATTTGAATTGAACTAAGCTTCTCTTTCTTCGGACGTAATTTTTCAGCTTATGCATAGCGCAAACGGTCATTCGCCTCCTACTTCACCGCCTGTGACGTAGCTCCTTGGAGTCTAACTGAAGTTTCGCTGCGTTTCCCAGTCCAAGAAGCCGCGTCGGGTGGCGTCCAAGACGGTGTACCAGTACCACTACACCAACTGGCCGGACCACGGCATCCCCGAGAACCCGCTGCCGATCCTCAGCTTCGTCAGGAAGTCGGCGGCAGCCAACAGCGACGGCGCTGGTCCCATCATCGTCCACTGCAGGTGAAGGCACAGATTAAACGCCAGTACTGGAGGGGGACACGCTGTGACATGTCATTGCTTCGGACTCGAGGATCGTGGCTGAAAACAGCAATACCGGAACATTGTTATGCAGGGAGCAAAGGTGGCATACAAGCTGCTGGGAATTTTTCAGCGCTTCTGCGCACCCGACTTAAGTTCCTGTGAAGTGATGACGTGGTAACAGCATCATGTGTTCGGCAAACGTGTGACACCCTCGTTCAGCAGTGAGACACCTTCCTTTCTCCGCAGTGCTGGCGTGGGTCGCACGGGCACCTACATCCTCCTGGACTCGATGATGCGGATGATCCGCACGCGCGGCGAGCTCAACGTCTTCGGCTTCCTCAAGTACATCCGAACGCAGCGCAACTTCCTGGTGCAGACCGAGGACCAGTACATATTTGTACACGACGCCCTGCTGGAAGCCATCGAAAGCGGCGAGACGGACATCCACCGGAGCTTCCTCAGTCGCTACCTGCACAACCTGCAGACCACCGAGCAGGACATCTACCCCTGGTACAACCTCGACAGGCAGTTTAAGGTGAGGGTGACACTCGACTGATGTAGCAATGACCGCCTCAGTAAACATCGCCTTGAAGACATCCAACTACATATTGACTTTGGAAGTTGGCTGGCCATTGACGCGGTGCAAGTTTGCGACTTTTCTTCTTTCCGTTTCAGCAGTCCTTTGCAGATGCATGAGCGCTTCTCGCGCCGCCTGTTCACAGTCCTTTCGATGTCAAGTTTGCAGCCTCTTGAACAGGACGTTGACGACCGCCTCCGCCGCAGCTCATCACCTACGACCAGGCGACCGACTACGACATGACGTCGGCGCGCCACCCGGTCAACTACCGCAAGAACCGCAGCATGGAGCTGCTGCCGGTGGAGCGGTACCGGGTGTGCCTGACGCCGCGGCCCGGCGCCGAGGGCTCCGACTACATCAACGCCAGCTGGCTGCTCGGCCACAGCCGGCTGCAGGAGTTCATCGTGACGCAGCACCCGCTGGTCGGCACCGTCGCCGCCTTCTGGCAGATGGTGTGGGACCACAACGCGCAGACGGCTGTGCTGCTCAGCCCGGTGGATGATCAGGTCAGCCGGGCTCGGCGCAGGCGGGCGGGAGGGGTGCGCGATGGGGCACTGGCCACAGCGTGCTCAGGTCTACCTCAATGTACTAAGTAATCTCAAATGCAAGCAAGTCAGCAAAGCTATCCCGTGACTCTGAGCACTTGAGCAATGAGAGCCATGACGCTGACTGGCAGTTTGTTGCAATTGGATAAAACAAAGTTTGTTTGAAGTTGTTTGGCTATCGTCCCTTGCTAAGGTCCCTCTCCCAACAGGAATACTGCATCTTCTGGCCTCTTGAGCGCGAAGAGATCGACTGTGATCAGTTCCGGGTCAGGTTCACTTCAGAACGGCAGCACGGCCAGTTCGTCATCCGAGACTTTACCCTGCAGTCCTTCACCGTAAGTTCTGGCCGCTTGTTCACATGTCGACCATCGCGCTTTGGCTCATGACGCTGCCCTGTTCGTGCGACTGATTTTGAGGCATGATATGACATTCCAAAGTATACAGTATTACGTGACCGTTTTATTCATGGCCTTGCTTTTCCAGGACTGACTACGAGATGCCGATGAGGATCATCCAGTGTTCTGATTGGCCACTGAACTGCACGCCTCTTGGCCACGTGTTCGACCTGATCAAGCTTGTGCAGCGCGACCACCTTGAGTACCAGAACGGGCCGTGCGTGGTGGTGGACCGCTTCGGCGGCACCGAGGCCGCCACCTTCTGCTGCCTGACCACGCTGATGAAGCAGCTGGAGTACGAGTCGCACGCCGACGTGTACATGTACGCGCGGCTGTACCACACGCGGCGGCCGGGTCTGTGGCGCAACCAGGACGACTACCTGTACCTGTACCGCACCGTCGAGTCCCTCGTGTCGGGCACGGCCAATCCGCCGCTGCCCCCGGCACCGCCTGCCGCCGACGTCACTGTTGCCAGCATCCAGAACCACCTGCCGCAGCGCCAGCATAGCCAGCAGCAGCAGCAACAGCAGCAACAGCAGCTCAAGCCAATCCTGAAGAACTCAAACGTGCAGCTGCAGCAGTACCACGGCGTGCAGCACCCCGCCGTGACCCCCAGCAGGCACTCGATGGTTCAGCCGAACAGCTACACTGACGAGTACGTCAACCCGTGTCTCCCCACGCGCGGCAACGGGCATGTGAACGGACAGCTGAACGGACACGTGAACGGACACGGCAACGGACAGGCGAACGGGATCGGCCGGGCGTACCGCATCCCGCCTGACGGCCGCGAGAGCACGGTGCTCGACGTGGAGCACTACGTGAACACGTGAGCGGCCGGCTTGGCTGGTCCGCTGCTGTGATACCGCTGAGTGGGACGTGAAGTGCGCGGCTGCCCCAGCAAGCCGCACTTTCGACGCGTTGTGAAACATTGGCGCGCGGTGGAGCTGTCGCTGTGGGTCTGGCAAACCAAACGCCGTGAAAAATCAACACATCAGCTGTGTGTTTAGGTGCCGCAAGACCCCAGGCATAGACTTTGAATTTGTGATTCAGTCAAGCTTTTGCCACATTGCACCAGTGTGACCGAGTCAGCACGTGTGACTAAGTTATAAGCTAACAACTGTGAACATGTCGTTACGTTCCATTAGCTATGCCTGAAAGTACAAATCGAGCTTTTAGTCGTGAATGAAGTTAAAGGTGTCATGACTGTATTGCATGTACTTGGTTCAGCGCTGTGTTGCTTTTATATGCGTTGTGTGCAGCTTATGGCTTTAGTGTGACTCAAATACAATTGCTTTTTATGACCATCGAGGTTTGCCATGGGAGGATTTTTCCTAATGCGAGTTGCATTTGATATCATATCTAACTGCCACGCAAAAAAGATAACTAACAGATACGCTACCTGAAATGTATAGTTTTCAGTGAAACGACCGCTGATTATTGCGTTAAACTGGCAAAAAAAGAAAAGCAAATTCGAAACTTTGAAACGCCAGAAGACAGGCAACATTTTATAGCCGGCGTTTGCAGCCCGCTAACACCGACCAGTTTTTGGCGGCGCGTGGTTGTCATGCCGACCGTTCGGACATGCCAGCGACCGGCGGCCTGTAAGACCGGACAACCGGCACCGGACGGTCGCTGAGGTATGCTGCCGGCAACAGAGCCACCCAAGCCATAATTATCGCTTCGAGACGGACATTTATCACTGCGGCTAACCTCGTCCGAAGCGGGGTCGGCGTCTGCGTCCATGTTAATTGAGCAGCCCGAACGCCTGCATCATTGTAATCATATGGCAAAGGCCAATTTAGTTTTTGCTTCTAACTCAGCAGTGCATATGGAAGAGATGACTTGTAAATTTACTAAGGGCAGGCAGGCAGTTATCGGCAAATCGTTTCATTGGGTGGGTTAGGAAAAGATGTGCGCGACACACCAATGTTCACATCAAAGTGTTCAGAGTGAGCTGCCACTCAAGGCTCGGTGAAAAACAGAGGTGCCCGGACTATAACATACGAGTGCAGTTGTTCAGATACATCACCGTCTTAAGCAACTCGCCGAACTCGTTCTGCTGTCAAGATCAGCAGCTGCAGGTTTTCAAAAGTGGCTCTAAAGCCGATCAGCGCACCGACGGCACACCGCACGTCTCCTCTCTTGTCAACAGCACGCCGGGCTCCAGGAGGCCAGGTGACCGGCAGCACGAGCCTCCCCGCCGGTGCCGGTCCCCGGCCGTCCGTGCGGCCGGCTGCAGACGCCTGTAACAGGTGGGAGGCGGACGACCCTGGCCGCCCCGACAGCGGCCCGGCTGTAAACGGCCGCCTCGGGCGCACCACAACTGCCCGACCAAGGCCCCACACATGTCGGCACGCCGTAGCCACGCAATTATCAGTGGGAATGGGGGAGTCCGGAACGAAAGCGCGGGAGAGGCTGGGGCAACGGGAGAGGGTTGGAGTCAAAGGGGAGGTGCGGTGGTATCAAGGGCAAGGAAGAGTGAGGAAGAGGGAGAGGAAGATAGCAGAAGAGGAGAAAAGAGCTACCGGCAGGACAGGAGAGAGATCGACAGGTAAAGATAGCGTGCTGATGGAGGAGGGAGGGCAGGGGGGGGGGGGGGGAGTGCACGTGATAGCCATGGGTGGTCCAAGAAGGCATCAACGATATCATTGTATCCGCAGCAATTTTCACCACCTGAACCCCTGCCACCATCGTAGCTCGCAGAAAAGATGCCACTGTCCGCTACCCGGTGGCACCGGTTTGAGTTCCCGAGTACCTATGCTTTAGTTGGTTTTTACATTGCAACCTTGCACGACGCAAAAAACAGACCATTTATTCTTAGTTTTGTTCGCCGAAAATCCTGGAGAGCATGTGCTCCGCTGAGATAGAATCCCTCAATTAGGCAAACTTGTCTGGGCAAGTACGCCACAAGCACGACTCAGCAATTCGCATGAGCCGAATGACAAGCGTGCCAATTAGTTGAGCATACGTCTCAACAACTAAACCCGTCCGGGTTCCAGTCAGCTGACTGGTTTACCGATAACTCACCATCCCACACGTGCATGTCACACGTGACCAAGCCGAGCCCATGCCGATTCTGGGCTCCGCCTCTGTGTTGTCTCCGCTACCTCTGCGTCCGGCCCCTGGTGTATCTGGCAGCGCAGAGACGCAGTGAGGACCCAACGCAGTGACAATAACTGCGCATGTGAGACGGTAGCATTTATGTCCGCGCGTTCTATTCTTAACAATAGAAACTGCAAATTATCTTCCTCGTAACGTAAGCACATACATTTCCTTCACCCACTACCGGTTGTGGACGCTCAATTCGATCAATATGTGTTGATGAGTCTTTTACGTCATTTGTGTCTCACTTCGATCAGGTAAGAGAAAATATTTTGTGCGTCCGGCAGAAATTCTCGTCGACGTCACGCAGAATCTGTGGGTTATGACGTCATCAATGCCATCGACGACATATTTTGCCACTGTCCGGTTGGCTGTGAGTATACCCTAGGAGCCGGGTGGCGAAGCTAGCACCATCACGACGATGTATTTGATGCGGCCGCGGTGCGAGCGGGGATGGCACCTGGCTTAGCCTGTCCGTCGTCGGCGACAGTCGTCAAAGGACGCCGCGACGGTGAGCGGCGCCGCCGACGCCCGGCCGGCCGACGGCCTCTTCCCGCCCGCCTCCTCGGCAATCATCGCCGGCCTGCTTCCGCAGATTAGCCGGCGCGCCGCCGACAACAGGAAAGGTACAAATCGCCGCCGCTCCGGATAACGAGCAGCAGCGGCGGATGCTCGGCGCAATCTTCGGGCCGGTGCGGCGCGATTACCTGCTAATTCGGCGTCCGCGGCATCCGAACACTTGTCGGCCGCCGACGCGCCGATTGCCGGCGCACCGCCCGGCGAGGACGTGCGGACGCCGACCGTTCTGAGCACGCTGCAAATCGCCGGTAAATAATCCGCTGTCACAGCAGACCGGCCTCGGCCGCGGCGCTCTGCGGGGAGAGCCGTGCAGGCCGGCTGGCGGCGCACCTGTCAGACTCGCGACGGGTGACCCTGGAGCGAGAGATGACCCGCCCTCTGACGGGCGTGCACCGGCTGCGCCCACCGAGGTGCCCCGAATTCGAATGCAGGCCTCGTCGCCGACCGGCGGCTAACGGTTCACGTAGAGTGCCGCTCGTGATCGCTTCATTACACCGTAGCGGCGTGTTCGGGGCGGGCAAGTGACGGCCCCTCCCGATGCCCAGTCGTAACTGCGGACGAGCACGATGATCGGCGTCACGCCCTCGCTGCCAGAGATGTGGGTGATGACGGTGTAAAGGGTTGCGCACGGAGGTAGGTTTCTTCGGCGTTCGTTGGACGACGCCGGGCGTAGCGCACTTCGGTTGGGGGCAACGCCGACCGCCTTGCACAATGCACCTCACTCAAACGCTTGCAGCATTACAACAGCGTGTAATTATCACATGCTAACCGCAATGATTCAGCATCCTGTAGAGCCGCCGCGGGAATACAAAGCTGATTGTTGTGCAGTCAAGGCTGGCCATAAGTCCCACACTGCGAATAATTACACCATGTCAGACTGCCGCATTTGACAGTGGCTTAAAACGCACCACTGACCATTCGGTCTCGGCGCCCGGCGCGGCGATGGCTCTGGCCGGGTGGCTACGCGGGCCAGCGGGGGTCTGTGCCAGGGTCGGGGCCCGGCTATCGGCACCCGGCCCCGCGCCGCTCTCCCCGCCGTCTGGCTCCTCCCGCACCCCCAGCTGCGCCCCGTGCTCTATGAGAAAGGTCACGCGAGGTCAGCTCGCCCGCAGATAAAATCTACCTCGGACGCCTACCAAAACCGACACTAATTACAGTCAGGGGAAGAAAAAGCCAGAGACATCGCACGCCCTACCTGCTGGCGCCTGACGCCATTCAGATGCATCTAGGTCTAGACAAGAATTTGACCTCGCTGCTGGGACAAACCAAGAAGACGCAGCTTGCCACGGCATTGGAAACAAGTTAAAAGCAGAACAGATGATGACCAGTTTCGCTGCAACATACTGTCTTGCTTCTAGACTGCTTTAGGCTCACTCGCTCTCCCTCTTTCCCCTCCTCTCTCTCCATCTCCCTCTCTCTCATCTCTCCTCTCGTCCCTCTCTCTCTCCTCTCCTCATCTCTCTCTCTCTCTCTCTCTCGTCTCTCTCTCGCTCTCCTCGTCTCCTCTCTCTCTCTCTCTCTCTCTCTCTCTCTCTCTCTCTCTCTCTCTCTCTCTCTCTCTCGCTCTCTCTCTCTCTCGCTTTCTCGCTAGCCCTCTCACCTTCCCCCACTCGCTCTATCTGGGAGGTCGTACGCCGTCCAAATGTTGCCCGCAGCTCATAGCAGGAGTATTACACCAGCGTGGTAGAGTCCGGTTCCATTGCTTTACAGGCCTGGGATAGCGATTTCCCGAGAGATAGCTTGTTCTTCCACCGTGATAACCCTCGTTAAATAGGAACCGACGGCTTGATGAGAGAGGGTCAGGCACTGTGATGTGCGTTACTCGAACGAGTGGAATCAAAGTGAACGCGGAACATTTGGGGTGAGCTGCGGATTGAAGCAAATGTGAATTAGAGTAAACTGACATCGTATGTGATTGGATATTAATCTGCCAGTAATTATCAGACAGTCAAGATCACCTAAAAGTTGGCATGGTTCGCTCAGGTTTCAATGAACATCAGCACCTACATTATCACGTCACGTCGCTTAACACACATTCACTCAGGCTGTCAGCTTCGCGTCCAGCTCCATTCGGTGCACTCTAGCTGAAGGCTGAAATATTGAAGGCGGCATACTTTCATCCGGTGGTTTGATGCATACGAAAGTCCATGTGTAGGCACGTCTGCTCCAATTTCCCCGTCCGAAAAGCGCATGGCTGTGTCGTTGGCCTGTGTTGCCCAGGTCTTCCCCAGCACACCCGCAGCTTCGTCAGCTCATCCCTGCGACGAGCATTTCGGACAAACGCTTCTTCGTGTGATAGTTTGTGTTTACTCACGCTCGTTACCACTGGCTCATCTAGCCATGCTTTGAGCTAGAGAAGGTGCCAAGTTCAAGTGGAATCCGTTATTCAAGGTGCGATAATTCACCGGCTCTTACGTCTCATCCAAGCCCAGGATCCGGACCGCGGCGCTCGAGAAATCCACCTAAATTTGTCGAGTGTCCGAGCACAGCCGCGGGCTGGTTCGGCAAATTGCAGTGGAGTCTTAATAAACGTGAGCTTTGATTCCAAGGCCGGTCTGGACCAGATCAAGCTCTCCTGCTCTCTGGGGAGAGAGAGAGAGAGAGAGAGAGAGAGAGAGAGA